AACATCGTCGGTCTGCCGTGATATGTTTACAATAAGACTTATGGTCCCGAACCTCTGCGCACAGCGTCTGCTAATCGGGGCTGTACGAAGTCAGTTTACGCAGGACTGTAAGCTGTCATCTGTCAGGCATGAACAGTGTTTGTCTTTAACATAGTTCACGGTGGAGAATAGCTGCTGACATAATGTGGATCCGAAGATCCATAACTGGCCTACCTGGGGTTGAAAGTCTCGATAAATGCACGGCATTTCGGCAGGTACACCAGCTTCCGCGAGTGTGACGGTTATTTTGAGCGATGAAAAAATAATATAATATAATTTTATTTTTATATTTCAATATCACAATAATCTTCCAATTTAGAACTACAAGTTAAAAAGAACTAACATAAATAAAATACACTTCAGCTAAATACTAATTTATTTTCCCAAACCACGCGGAGCCGCAGTATAAGGACTAAAGAGCCGCATGCGGCTCTGGAGCCGCAGGTTGCCAACCCCTGCCCTAGACAAACGCTACACAGTGCCGTCCCGCAACTATTTTTCTATTGTTGCACTACCTGCTGTATACACGCAGTGTCGAGCAACGGTGGAGACGGAATTTCAAGCAGTACAACATTTTGCGGCAACCACAAAATGTGAGACATTTGTTGTTTTTATGTTTATTTATTGTTTTTATGTTCCGTCTCAACTGTTACGAAGTTGATGTGCAGTTAATAAGTGCAATAAATATTTATATTGGAAAAGAAAATCGTGAGAGAATCGTGATCTCAATTCTAAGCAAAAAAATCGTGATTCTCATTTTATGCAAAATCGTGCAGCCCTAGCACAAACTGACATCAGCAGGGCGCCTGCTGAGACATTTTAAGGGCAGCTTCTTTGCAATAACAGCTGAGTGAGGTGCAGTCAATTAACTGCACCTACAAAGCATTTGACTTTGCTTTCTGTGTTGGAGATTTCACAATTCCTCAGAGGTCTTCTACAAATATCTGGGAATTATATTTGTGTCATTAAAGGGACAAAGAGTGTGTTGAAAAGGATCAGAGCATTTTACAGCAGATAAATGAACCTGCAGAATAACAGACTGTGCTTTTTGTTCTTCAGAAACAACGATTTGCAAACCTCGCCAAGTTCAAAGCCAGCGTCTACAAAATCCTTATAGCGACTGATGTAGCTGCCAGGTGAGAATGCACGCAGAGCATTGGAAAGAAATGAAAAGGCCACATTTTTATGACTCTAATCAACAAATCTGACACAAACATTATGTAGTGTGAGCCTGTTTAAGGCTTCTGTTACTCCTCAATGGAGTCACCACAAAGCATTTCAAAGCAGAAACATGCGTTTTCCTGTTACTTCCCACCCACAGGGGTTTGGATATCCCAACTGTCCAGGTCGTCATTAATCACAACACCCCCGGCCTTCCTAAGATCTACATCCACAGAGTCGGGCGAACAGCCAGAGCAGGTTTTTTTCTGTTTTTTTTTTTTCTTCTTATATCATCTTCCTCGCGTCTGACATAAACACCACTCATACACTGTGATGTTTTCCTCCTGCAGGGAGGAACGGAGTGTCCATCACGCTGGTCACGCAGTACGACATCCACCTGATTCACGCCATCGAAGAACAGATTCGTAAGTCGCAACTAGGGCTCAGTTTAAAGACCTGTGAATAAAGCTGGTAGGAAAGCTGCACCTCAGGATAGATTGTAGTCCATCGGTAACATTAATAAATAAAACATGTAAAACTTTTGACTTTTAGAGATTGTATTTATCTTAAACTTTGGATGTTTGCACAATTTCTGATTGCAAAAGAGGTTAGATAATGATTTTTGCTTTTTGAGATCTGCAGCTCATCATCATCTTGTAAATATCACAAAGTGTGTGTGTGTTTAAACACTGGCCTCTTGTCTTCTTACAGAAACCAAGCTGAAAGAATATCCTGTGGAGGAGAAGGAAGTCCTGAAGATCCTCACCCAGGTCAACGTGACCCGGCGGGAGTGTGAGATAGTACGGATGTTTTATCACTTATGCTCACCTCTTGCTTTTCACTGTGCTGAATCCAGTTAAAGTGGAACATCGCTCCTTGTTTCACACGATGACTGACAGTCTGAAAATCGTCCCATTAGTCAGGGACGCCTGTTTTTAACCTGCCTCACCAGTTTAAGTGTTTTCACTGTAAACTCCATGTTGCAGAAACTCGAGTCAACAGACTTTGATGAGAAAAAAGAGATCAACAAGAGGAAACAGCTGATCCTGGAGGGAAAGGTGAGTGCAGCCTCTTAGTGAACTATTTAAACATTATTCTGTTTTTGATTTGAAGTATCATTATTATATTTTTAAGTCGAGTTGAACGTCTGAACAACAGTGAGACGTTATTTTCCAGATCTCGGGGTGACTGCTACTTAGGCAGAAGGGACAAAATAATTTTAATATTTTGATATAAATACAAATAGTAAAACTAGAGTCTATGAAAGGTCTGTAAAAAAATAAATAAATAAACAGCTTCTTATAAACTCTGAAATATTTATGAGTCATGCTTGATGCCTTTTACTTCACATTTAAGGTTGATTGGAGATCATAAAGATTCAGAACAGCAGTGTTACACATTGACTCACCAAAACTATGAGTAAGAGACAAATTAAATGTTATCCAGTATTTGACCATCTCCTGATGACATCACCTACTCCTGAAGGGTGAACGGCAAAGCAAGATTAATGACTTGGTGAGCTCTTTTTACCGGGCTAAATCGCCATGGTAACTTATGCTGAATACATCACCTGTGCACGATGTTTTAGCCAAGTTTTAGTTTAAAATGAGCTGGATTTTTTTTAATTATTATTTTTCATTTATTTACAGGATACTGTGTGATATTGATTATGAAGGAATAATATATGCAACTAAAATGAGAGCTAGCTATAAAGTCACAGCAGTGCAAACTGTGTGTAAGTCTTTTATAGTACTGTAATTGCAGCTGCTGGAGCAAAATTGACGACGGCATTTGTCACAGCACAAAATATTTTGCTGCGAGGCTGTCGGAAAGTAACCTCTGTGACTAAATACATCCAGTTTAAAGTTTTGGAGCTCTGATGTTCACCTGACATAAAGAAATGAAGCGCAGGATTCAAGTAAATTAAATCAAGTTGAAATGTTTTTATTTTACGAGTCTGCCTTGCAGCAGTGTTGCATTTAACTGTTACATTTTTTTGTTCTTTATAGATTTTAATCGTTTTATCATCACTGTTGTGATGACAACGTAATGAGAGCCCACACAGAGCATGAAGCAGAGAACATTTAATAACCACTCTGTCATCTCTGATTGGGGTTCTGTATCTTGTCAAGCCAGCAACTACAACACAGCTGTGGTCGCTGAGGGTCAAAGGTTATGCTGCTCACACTCACACTCAGTAGCTTTTTGTGGCCATGTCTACTTTTAGTATGGATTCTTTACAAGAGAAAATCCATCATAAGTGTCCAGCGCCCTTTTGCAGCGGAGAACTGATGGAATAACCTGTACGTGTTGTTACCGTGTACATAGCTAGCCTGTGTGAAACAAGCCTTTGGCAGCAGTGTGATGTTTTGGCTGCACAGTAGGGCTGTTCGATGATATATATCGGATGACGATATAAAAACGTCTATCGTTTCATTTTACGCTATCGTTTGTTTCGTGGTTTCGCAAAATAAACTGTTTACGGCAATATTCTTTCATCGTTTTGATGGTCACTGTAGTGGCTATATTCATTTCTTAAAGTTCTCTTATATTTAATATAACCAAACTACTGATGGACAAGCGCCTGTTATGGTCCACATAAAACTTTCACAATAAAGCTCAAGATCCTGTTGAGACTTTTCAAAATAAACTGAATCACGTGAAAGAGCAGATTATTTACGGATGAGAAGCAAAAAAGAGCCGCCAAGTGCTAAAACATAAACCTTAGACTCAAACGTTAGAACAGGCTTTTCCCCGCAGCACGCCGTGTAATAAATACTCACAAAGGAAACGGCGGCCTTTACAACTTATGTCTAAAAATGTATAGTTTCATGCATCGGTTAAAACACTCAACTCCAGGTACATGACGCGCAGCTGGAAACACTTCGCGCAAGTCGAGCTGCCCGAGATTCACAGAATTTACAGAAAATGTTACATTTTTTGTGATTTATATCGGGATATGAGATTTTGGTCATATCTCACAGCCCTACTTTTAAATAAAGTGTAAAAGACCAAGTGTGCCTAAAATACCTGCCCTACGGTGAGTTTGGCATTCTGGTATTTAAGAAGTAATTTCCTGCCATTTCAGGATCCAGAGCTGGAGGCCAAAAGGAAAGCTGAGCTGGAGAAGATCAGGAGCCAGAAGAAGAAGTTCAAACAGAAAATCCAGGAGAGCATTCAGAAACAGAAACAGCTAAAAAAGAAACTGATGAAGAGAAGACAGATGAAAAAGAAAGAGGCGGCGCAGGCAACTGCATGAAAACCGCCTCATGTATATACTGCACACTGTATAATAACCTGTAATATTTGTACCTGCAAATAAACTTCAAGCCACAGAAACAACTGAAGTTGACAGCGTTTATTGATTCAGTTTAACAAGAGAATCAGCATCTTGTGATGAAACGTCACTGCAAATAAGACTGTTTCAAATATGTATTTACATCACATTGAGACTTTATTTCATGAATTAAATCTCGGCCTAATGACGTGGTGAATGAACGCTCTGCGTGGAACAGAATCACATCTTCAATGATCGCTGCACATGTTGGAATTGACTGTAGCTCAGAAGATGGGAGGAAAAAAAATATTACGGCAACATTTTTTTAATAATTTTTTTTAAAGCTCTAACACATTAGGATTCACCGGAACAAGTTGATATGCTAAAAGAACTCTGTGCACAAATGTCAACTATTTCTAACTCAAACATAACAATGTAAAGCGCAACATGATTGTCACGTGTGTGCAGAAATAAGAAGCAGGTGAGAAACAACGGTGCAGTACATTCTTGCTGTGTTCAGAAAGTGTCATTCCTGGAAGAAGTTACAAAACTACAATCCTTCGGACAGTTTGAAGAGAAGATACAAAAATCGAGAAAGGAAACGGCGTCCCGCTCATTCCTGTACTCAGCAAGTTGCTACGAAAAAAAATAGATATATATCCCACATTTCAGTAAAACTACACAACGAAACGATGCACACGGCAGCAAAATGTCTGACGAAAGCAAAGTGGATCAACTCAGGAGGAACTGCTCAGCACAAATCAAACAGCCACAGAAGGGGAAAATAAAATCTAACAACCTCCATTTTTACCTCACAGAGAAGGAAGGTGGCTTTTGCCCCTCAATCAGCCCAGCTGCTAGACTCACTCGCTTCATTTTATTCAAACAATAAAAATATATAAATAAAACAAGTCCTTTTCTGTGGGTTTCTTAAGCCCTCTGGTGTCAGAAAGGTTGTTGGAAATGCTGGTCGTTTGACTGGAACTACATTCATGCTTGTGCTGCGGCTGTTTATCTGAGGGTGAGCGGTTATAGGCACTGATTCTGGTCTCATTCGCTGTTTATTTCATTTCTCTGCCACCGCCCGATCAGTACTGGATGGCATTTTCTGCTGTGAGTGACTGGGGGTTAATAACAGAACAATTTGAATCCACAGGAACCAGAAGTCTTTCGGGTCAAGTTCATTTCTGAATTTCAAACACTTCTTTTCAACCTGATTAGCTTTCGTTGTATTTGGGTGGTCAACGTGACCTTTAATATGGCTTCATTAAGGTGAAAAACACAGTGGCATCTGGTATGAAAAAGTTCACTCTTTTCCCTAAACCTTTGACTTTAACATGTTTCCTTCTCTGCCTCAGCCACCTTCCTTTTCTTCTACTTTCTTGCCGTTGATTGATCGCCACGACTGCCTGTTAGCCTCATCTAAATGTCCCCGTTTAGTTTCTCTTACCTCAAGCAGGGATTCACGTGATGAGTGTGGACAGTCCACAATCCCCTGAGGAAATCACTCAGAGCAAAAGCATTCAAGCATTTGCCAATGTAAGCGTACACAGGGTGTTTTAAAAAGACAGCAGGACGTCAAAGACGCCGTCGTTCGAAAGATTAAAATAAGAGGGGAAAAAAAAAAGCCTTCGCTGAAACATCAAATGACGCCGAGCTGAATATTCAATGCTGGTCACGTTTGATAGTTTCAATGACTTTTTTGCAATTTTGTGCTCTGTGGTAAGAAAGGTAAACTGTCCCATGATCTTCGCGACATCGTCGGGATTCGCGTCTCATGTCTTGAAAAAAAAGGAAAAAAAAGCAAAAAAAGTCTGAAATCCCCACGCCCCTCCACCACTGACGGGTGGTCGAAACCACCCCACTGCAGACCTTGTGAACGAGCCAGTGGTTCTCAAGGCGAATGAAAGGCCTTTCAATATCAGACTCAGACACAGAAACAGAGTTTGTCGTTCCTCTCTGAGAGGGTCCGTCGACTGCCGCTTTCTTTAGAGGCTGCTGAGGTTTGGAGGGTCCAGTAGAAGACAGTAGGTAGCACGCTTCTCCCATGTCAAACCTAATTTTAAAAACAGTCCAGGGCACTGCACAGGCTGATAGTCAACCAGCTTTTAAGCATGGGGAAGCAGAACTGAAACCAGGTTTCTTCAAGTTCTGCTGAAAATCTACGATCTTCACCTGAAGACGAGCATATAAACTTTTCTCAGACGCTGTGGATGGGAAGGTGTTGGGAAGATTATTTTATTTGGAGCTCAACCTCATTTGGATTCCCATGAGAGACCGTTTGGACCTCTCGTGTTTCCCTCAGCAGCCCGACCACAAGCCGCCATCTTTTCGACCTCCCTCCTTCACTCTGCACGGGCATTGGTTCCTGCCTCTCACTTGTTCACTCGGCCTCTTATGCCATCTCCCTGCCTGTCTGTTCGTGCTCTCTTCTTCTTCTACCCTCTTTGTTTCTCTCGCTGGTCATTGGTTTGGTTTCGCTATCCCGTCGCTTTCACTTGGTGGTGCTTCGGTTGTAGCAGAGGAAAACAGGTATCCATTTTATGTTTTTATTATTTCCCAGATTAAAAAGCTGATGAACTAAGCTCAGCTCAAGCCTAGCTCCCTTCTTTGGGTAACCTGCAAGACAACAGGGATGAGAAAAGTTGAGCTGGTTAGAGCTTTTGCATAACATGTTTTACATGCCTGATGTGATTTTAGCTCATCCACAAGTCAATTATTATATAACATTTCCAGTGGATGATCCTGAGGTTTCAGGCACGTTCACCAAGTTTTATGTGAAACTGCACTTAAAATATATTGTAAGTTAGCCGAGATCAGTGAGACACCTGAAGCTTGTGGCACTCAGTCATGAGATCAGCTTTCCTCTGAATACTTTGACACTACACTGCAGCTAAAGACATACTTCATGTACTTACACTTCAGTACTGCGACAGTCCAGTCACTCCGCCATGCTGGTACGCACGTTCACCCTGGTAGGTCGAGTCCTGGGACAAAGCCACGTCGATTTGGGACTTGAACTCGTCACCCAGGTAGCTGTCCTGGAGGACATAAGGGTACGCAAATCAGTTGTTTTTCCATCCAAGATTGTTCAAGTTTATCCACCAACGCCTTCAGAGTTTAACTGATCAGTGTTGAGAGTCATCCAGACGTTTTCAAGGGACACTCAGACGTACCTGCCCCTGAGCAAGCACTTTTATCTCCCCTGAAAACAGCCCTGAATGAACTGCTGCAGAACTTTTGCAAAGTGAGAACACACAATGGCCAATCAAAAAGTGCCTGGTAGTTCCTGAGGTGGAAAACACTGGAAAGTGTTTAGACAGCAAACTTTTCCAGCTCAGGATCCTTTAACCTTTTCTAATGCAATCTTAGTAATGCTTTTATTTACTTATTTAAATAATTGAATGAATCTGGATTAGAATACAGTTTCTCTGGTCTAGATAGGAGACTGGTATTTATAATGATTTTAAAAGATATGTAGCAACTCATCATTCCAGGTTAATTTCAAAACAAAAATTTCTCAGAGGATTAATGAATGATCACAACCCAACAGATTATTAATGAAGCAGCAACACTGATGATATTTATGGCAACAGTTAAACTTGGTTGTCATTAAATTAGCGTTACTTTCTGCTGCATCTCCTTTCTTTAAGCAACAGTGACGCGTTACCTGGGAGAGCTCCGGCTGGGAGAGGCCAGGCTGGCTCATCTGTGAGGGCTGGCTCATGGAGATGTAGCCTTGTGTCAGTGGCCCCTGGGAGAAGGATTGGGAGGCTCCATCCTGGCTGGCCTGACTGTTGGGTCCATTACCCTGACAGGCACCCTGGTGTGCTGAACCACGGACCCTCTGCCGCCCACCACGCCCAGGCTTACCTTTCATTGCTCCACGCCCTTTAAGGAGGTGGAGGAAGGAAAAAAATAAATAAATAAAATCACAACCTGTCAAGTTATTATGCTGGGTAGCTATAAGGCATGAGAAGTGACAGTTATCAAATATCATTGAAGGACTTTGCATTATGCCCTCAGTGAGCAGCAATGTTTTGGAATCACTGAACATTAAAAAACAAAAAAAAAACAACACATCCAGAATAACCCATCTGCGTGCCGTAAGGTAGACTGAGGTGGGACTAGTCCGAGCAATGCTGGAGGAGGAGGTCTATCAACTTTCCCTCCCCTCTTTTTTTTTTGATCCTCCTTCTTAGGTTTAGATTTGCAGTTTCAATGAAAAACAAACTTTCCTCTCTTCTCCTTTTGCTGTTATCGTACCTGCAGCAGGCCCATTGGGCTGACCTAGATAGCTAGGTGGAGCCATTGGTGGCATCACCAAGTTGAAGGGTATAGGAATATTCATAGCAGCCATGGGACCTGGGCCTGCACCAATCATCCCAATCTGGTCATGTGTTTGGAAGTACATATTAGATGGACGTCCACCTGAAAGAGATCATAAGAATCAATAAGACATGGCATGCAAAGTTTTGCTGATTTAAAAAAAAAAGAAAAAAAAAAGAAAAAGAAGCTGACATATTACCATTGCTCCGGTCGTATGCAGAACCAGGGATGAGAGCCTCACGGGCATCGTACATTGCAGTGCTCATAAAACGTCCTCCCTGGAAAACACCGGTGACGTTTAGAACAAATTTGACAAAAAGCTCCTTATACACAAGAGCTCATCACCATCTAGCACTCACTGATTTGCACTAACTAGCTTAAAAAAAACAACCACAACAACAACAAAAAACACTGCTGCCTTCAGTTTACTTCCTGTGACAGCTGACTGGATGCATGCAGCCTTTACATTCATGGCACAAGTTTTGGGAGACCCCCTCGTGGCAAAGCAGGTGTGAATGTTGACACATTTAATCAGACTCTCCTCAACTTGCTAAGCACAACACTCCTCATCAGAAGAGAAACAAGACACATTTAAAAATAAATAGACAGCAAAGACACAAAAACATCTTGTGACCAAAAGGTTGAGCCCCTTTTCCATTAGTACCTACTCTGATCGATTCGCCATCTGATACCAGGTACTAAAATGTGAGGATGTCAAACTGTGCATGCCACCGATTAGCGGGTCAATGGCGTCACTCTATGAGTCACGAGCATCTTGTTCACAAAAACACATCTTTGTTGGATACTAATTTACGTCACAGGACACTTGGCCGCGTTGCTGTGACGACGACCATGCACATTAGGTTGTAATGGAATGCCAGTCGAACAGAGTCAAGTCAATCCAAGCAGGTAGTAATGGAAAGGTATCACGATCCTAAACTACTTCCACTGTTACTCAGGTGCCAATTCCCAGTATTAGTTTGGATTCATACATCATTTAAGAAAGAAAAAAAAAAAGTATGACGCGTCCTACTCACAGGGTTGATGGTGTTGACCAGTTTGCGGGGCTTGCTGAACTGCATGAGGCTCTCCCTCAGGTTGTTTAGGGGCCCCTCCACGAGGACCTTTTGCTCCTTGTAGTTGTTCAGCAGGTTGTTCCACAGTGGCTGCTTGGAGAGCGCCTTGGGGTTGCCCACAATGATCACACCATACCTTCAGACATAAGACAACTGATGAGGGGTAGGTTGCAGCTTACACAAATCACACAGTGTGAAATGTTGTGTGCGCAGAACAGAGTCAATCTAGTGTGTGTTCATATAGCCTGATCGCTAAAATTAAGCTAAATTTGACACGAGTCATTCAAATCAGAAATGCCCGATAGATTGAGCCGTGCTTCATCTGTCCACTGTGATTATTTTAATAGCTCTTACTTGGCCCTGGTCAGCGCCACGTTGAGACGGCGAGGGTCGTTCAGGAAGCCAATTCCCTGGTGCTCGTTGGCTCGAACACAAGACAGGATGATGAAGTCCTTCTCTCTGCCCTGAAAGGCGTCCACGCTGGCAATTTCCACTTGCTATAATGAATCACGATAAAAGGTGAAATTGCATTGTAAAAACAGAGGACCAAAACTGAGTGATCGTGTGCTAAACTTTAAACAATAACTTCATGTCAGTGTACTCTCAACTCTGGCTCTCCAGTTGTTCACTTTCTTTTTTGTCCATCTCCTCTGTGGAGGAGACAGGACGTCCTACTCCTAACTGCTCCATGTTGATGTTGTCCTGGGATATCTCCTAATGTGTGTAACTATAAAGTGTTTGCTGGAAAAGGGTATTTTTGCATTTGTGTTTTAAGTGATACCTGATAGAGTTTGGTGTGCAGGGAGCCGCTGAACTGCATGTACTGAACCAGGTAGGAGCGCTGACCCTCGTACGGGGTGATGATGCCGATCTGATCGGGTTTGGCTCCTGCCTTCAGCAGCCTGGTGGTGATTTTCTCCACGTTGGCAGCTTCAGTCCTGAAAAAACAGTCAATCGTATCAATATTGGGACAATCATTTAAAGTTAACTATGGCAAACTGATGCCAAAAAACCCCCCCCAAAAAAAACCAAAAACAAAACAATCACGTCCACAGTTGTTTTAAACCAGGGGCCAAAACAAATTACGTCAGCAAATTTAAGTAAGATTGAAGTGAAATGCCACCAAGTAACAAACAAAATGTGAGAACTTACCTGTTAAGGTACGAGGTTCCAGAGCTGGCAATTTCCTCCTGACCTTGAGTAACGTAAAAGAACATGGGCTTGTCTGGTTGTGGCCACTGGAAATCAAAGCCTTTCTTGATGCGGTCAGCTGAGGAGAACAGGACGGTCTAATTATTGTTAAGTTATAAGTTGGTGGATCTTCTACTAATCAGTGCGGAAATCAATTTGCTCCTTCATCAAACCAGATAATGAACTGCCGGATCGCAACAAACCTGCAGTGACGCCATTCTGCAGGGATCCCTCGTAGAAAATGTTAGAGGGGAAGGCACTGAGAGCCGGGTGCATACGGTACTGGACCTGCAGGCGGATTGGCCGGATCCCCAGAACCACCAAGCGCTCAAACAGGGACTGCGACAGACCTGCTTTAGCCGCCTTCTTACACATCACCACAGGACCCAACTGGCAGTGGTCACCCACCAGAATAAGCTGGGTGGAGGAAGAAGAGCCACATAAGCGTGACGCTTGGGTTAGTTTAACAACACAACACAAGACGTTAATGTTCCTTATTGTTCAGACTGTTGAAAGTTTTAATACTTGACAGTAGCTGCTACTACAGTTTAAATGACAAAGCTTTACATTTTTAGTTGACATGTGCCAAAGTATTTCTTCATTTACTGTTAATGCAAAAAAAAAATGACAGAAACCAAAGCAAACAGCAGCAGCTGGGAACTGATGCAGCTGTTTGGGTTTTGTACCTGCTTTGCTCCCAACACCACGGGCACCATACACTCGGGCTCAGTGGCTTGGGTGCTCTCATCGATCAGGATCGAACGGAACTGCATCTTGGCCAGACGAGGGTCTCCAGCTCCGACACAAGTGCAGCAGATTACGTCAGCATTCTGGACAACGAAGAGGAAGTTATGATCATTATCTGCATCTCAGGTTGAAGAAGGTATTGAATCATCTTAATGGACTGGTACAGACAGCCAGTTGAAATGTGATATTTTCTTCTCCTGTACTGTCATGTGCTGACCGGCTGAGGCCAGTGGAGTTGCAGGATTTAGCTACACAGTTGTGTGTGAATGTGAGAAACAATTGTCAAAGGCAGCAACTGTCTATAATAGGGAGAGGCAACTAAGGATGTGGACAACTAATGTGGTGGATGTTTAAATGCTGCTGCCCTCAGTGATCAGCACCACAACTTGTAGTTAAAAATACATGTAGAAATTAGGCCACTGCTTCTACAGAATAATTCTCAGAGGCAAACAACGTTTGACTGAAATCACTTGTTGCACCAAGAATGCCTGAAATCGCCGACTTCCAGCTGCATTTAAAGTGAAAACCAACACCTCCTCACCATGAGCAGCTCCCTCTCAGCAGTGCGCTTCAGAGCCCTGTAGCGTTTCTCATCAGCAGACGACAGCTCGCCAGTCTCATCTTTTAGCTGCTGTAGTTTCTGAAGCTCCGGCATACTGTGGAGACAAAGACGCATCAGATTATTTACACCAGTACATTACAACACCAAATCTGTGATATAACATGGTCACACCTGGAAAATGAAGGACTATTTCCCCTCATGCTACTGACCTGTCCATGTTGCTGATCTGGTTGTGTAAAGCAAGGAAAGACACAGGGGACTCGATGGCCTCCCTGCTCTTGGCACACAGCCTGACAACCTTCAGTCCAGTCTTATCGATCTTCTCAGTCAGCTGGTCCACAGCAATGTTACTGGGAGCACACACCAAAACTGGTCTACAGGACACATGCACCACAGAGAGAAAGGGAACAAGAATTACACGACTGGAATAATAACACGCTCCAAATATAAAAGGGTTAACTCAATTTTTGCCTCACCCATTGCCCTGTCGGGACAAGTGGTACACGATCGTGGCAGAGGTGACGGTCTTCCCAGTGCCAGGAGGCCCCTGGATCAGACTAAGAGGTCTCTGAAGCACCGTCTTCACAGCATACACCTGAACATGCAAGAAACAAAATAAATCAACTGGATACTTAAAACAAACGCAGTTTGCCAAAAACACAAAACACTTTTTGGCAATCATAACAGAAATCTTTTCTTATTCTTTGAGTTTTCTCAATTAATTTACAAAGATGAACGTCTTTGTTGCACTAATGTACAGTAAATGAATCAACTAAAGTTACACTATGTCCTACACTGAGATTATGGCCATCTAAAAGTTTTCTCGTATGAGTTACGATGTCCAAGTCTGACCTGTGAGTGATTGAGGTCAGGAAGGCCTGGGGCAGTGAAGCGCTTTGGCAGCTGGCACTTAATGGTGACATCCTCAACTTCATGCCCCAGGAGTTTGTGGTAAATGTAGCCAGACACTGAGGTCTCATCCACCGCAAACGTCTTCAGGGCGCTTTGCATCCTGCAGCAGGACATAAACAACTAAGTCAGCCGTTACTGCCAAAAATAGCTTACCAAATACATTTAAATTAAACTGAAAACTTTACAACTGGTAGTCAAATCAAAAAAAGAAAAGACAAGACACAATGAATCTACTGAAAACATGAGGTGGAAATGAAAGGAAAGGAAGAAAAGACCTTTTGGTACGGCATGTCGTTAAATGCTCTGGCATAAAACAGCTTACCTATCAAAGGAAGTCGACTTCCACACAAAGTCCACCTGGAAGTTGTGGGGGATTTCCACAGGCGCTCCAACACTGCTCCGCAACTCAATGGCAATTTCATCTCCATAGTCTTTAAACACAGGCTATTAAGGAAATCCAGCATTATCCGTAAAATATTTCTAGTGGGTGAGTGTCGGCTTTGCTGTCTGTACTTCTCGGTTAGGACAGTCACTGCTGCCGTAAAGGGCCACGCTGGAATGCAACATTAAGAAAAAGATCATATCAGCTGTGCAAAGGATACTGTCTGGGACCTTGATGACATGACCGATGCCCTTCCACAGCGGGGCCAGGTCTCCCTTGTACCGCAGACAAATCTCATCACCTTGCATCAGCCGCATATCTGGGGTCAAGTGAAAGGACACAAGTTAGAAACCTGCACTTACAAAAAATTACTTACAAAAGTATTTAAGGACAGGGCTAAGTTTATGAAAACACATGATACAATACCGTGCCCTCATCTAACCCGACAACACAAAACAGAGGCAAGAGGAGAAAAAAAACAAAAACAAAAAAAACACGCACACATGCCACCAAAAGATGCAGGGATGGGGGAGGTTGCGTGCAAGGCCTGAGGGGGGGGGAGTAGGATGGGAGCTACATCTGTACCACAGAACCACTGGGAGGAAGGAAAGTTTAGAGAATTACCACCTGAATCCGTCTTAGGAAGAGTGAAATAGGCAATCCGCTTTTTGTTCAGCCCCAGATCCCACCTAACTGTTATATTATCTTGAGTCTGAAAAAGGAGGGAGAAAAATGATCAAAACATCAGGTATAATAATACAGATATCACAGCTATGACAATATTGCAGAAAATAAAGTAAAAACACCTGATCAGAAAAGTGCCTTACGCCACAAAAACACATTTCAGATCGCATCTGTAGTCAGGAAAATCTATCATCACATCCTGCTTCAGCATGAAAATAAAATAATCCTCACCACACCATTAAAATCATTAAATGATTAAAGGCTTTTTAAAGGTTAAAAACTTTAGCCATGTACATTTCTGGAAGTGAAACACCAGTAACCACATTCCAGGCACCTCTGTGTGGAACCATATCAGGTACCTGTGACTCCTTAAGCTTCTTGTCGTAGTCAGCTTCCAATTTGACCAAAGGGCCAAATATATTTTGGTATTGATAAGCATCCTCGTAACGCAGCAGTACATGCTGGGGCTCCTCATCTACTCCAGGTTTCTCCAGGTCTTCCAAGGTGGCAGTGGGATTGTCCTGTAGGAAAACCACAAAACAATAAAAACAAACAAAGTCAACACTCTTACAAGCCCTGAAAGAGCAAAAGGCATACAAGTGGATCGTACCTTCCAGAGTTCCTCCAACTTGTTGATCTGCTGGGCCGTGATCTGACGGGCCCTAAGCTGCTCCTGTTCTGATGGGATCTTCACCAGCCAGGACAGAAAGCATCGGTCCTGGATCAGCGGCTGCCACTGCGAGCTGTCCCAGTTGATGTCCTTCAGGCTGCTTTGGCTGGCACAGGGCTGCCTGAATGGAGGCATAAGATTCAGGCCAAGTATTGGAGGTTTCAAACTAATCAAACTACTGTTAAATCACAGTACTTCTTACTGCAAGTCCATGAGGCCATACAGAAGGTTATGTTTACTGTCAGAGCCGCAAGCTCTATTTCAAGCTTAATGCACATTAGTAGGGCGGTCCAGAGAAAACAGCTGCAGACTCTATAGCTGCCTGCCTGTTCACTACTTTGATTGATAGTGCATATTATGTGCTATAGTCAGAACACTGGCTCTGTCTTCGCTGAACACATTGGTGTTTGTGTGACAGAGAAAAATCCACGCCGGGGACTTTATTTCCCACTTCCAGCACAAACAGAAAGTAACAGTCCAGAAGTGTTGTAGCTCTATTCATCTGCCATAGTACATAATGTATGTACGCACACAGCTCTGAGACGTGTCTGTGCTGAACTCTGTTGATCAGAGGGCAAAAGCAGAGAGTTTCTCACACTTCCACCATGAAGAGAAAGCATCACGAGAACAGCAAGTTCCATTAACCTCCTTCACAAACAGCAACAAACGATTAATCCTAGTCTGCTAAGTCAGTCTAAGCAGACCACTGAAGGTAAAAAAAAAATATAAAACTATAACATTTATGCAAAACCTGACCAGTTCTCTTTATTAACTTGAAAAAAACCAAAACCAAAAAAACCTAGAACATCTTCTTGACTGTTCTGAGTCTCTTTTGAGCTGCTTTAATATGTCTGAAAACAAATATGAGCCTATGGGTGGGTGGGCCTGCAATACACAGGTCAATTAAAAATATTAAAATATTTCTAAATACGTGTTTCATATACATTTTTGACAAGACTATTTACCCTAAATTATTCCATTTTGCAAAAGATTAGCTCTCTTTAGCAAAAATACATTAAAATAAAAAGGTTCATCAATTTTGTTTATGAACCTTCATCTGTTGGCCATTTTTTCCTGTCTATCTCATTATTCAGGCATCTCAAGGCCTCTTTACCAGTGTCCTAAAGTCTAAAGTAAGGGGGAGAAACCTAAATAACTGAGAAGAAAACAACTTTATCATAAACTTCCAGAGTCAAATGTAAATATTCAGATTAAGCTTCACAGAGGTAAAATATTGTCCTGCTTCAATCAGGACAGTCCGCAGCAACATACCTGCAGAGTAGCACCACCACAGAATCAGCCTTTGCTGGGATGAAGCCCAGGAGAAAGACGTTGCGACAGCCGCAGTTGTAACACTCCAGCACGGTTTCGCCCAGCGGCCCATCTTTATGCAGAGTCACTTCTTTGCATTTGGCTCTCACCAAATGGTTCACAATATGGCTGCGAGGCAGACAATGGAAGTCAAACAGAACGTTAAAACAGAAAATTAAAAAACTGACACTGAGCCCGAGAGCAAAAGTGGGAAACGGCCCACTTCACAGTTATGAGCAAAGGCTGTGAATAGGATACGATTCCTATTACACTGCTTGGTAGCATCTACAGTAAATAAACCTGAACACGCCCTCCGTTCAACCAATGCAAATACAAGAGTTGCCATCTACTTCTCACAGATCTCTCATTACACACATGCCACATGACCTGTCTGTCAAAATATGGCTGGTGTTGGGAGAAGTGTGTGAAAATTTCATTGTTATCGTTTCAAGTTATTAGTAGTTTCACTTTCCGATTCCTACATGCAATTAAATAAAGACAAGCCGACGACGAACCTGCCGGATGTATTGCCACGCCCATTACAGAACCACTTCTTGCTGGTATTGCAGTACACCACACACGCTGGATCGTGGATACCACAGTAGCTGTAAGGAACAAACACAGCAGTGTTCAGAGCAAACACAACAAGAGCAAAAGACCAACTGTACACACACGATATCGGGTGTCAAAGGAGTCAGCATATTATACGGACCCTGTCAAATGCTACATGCTCACATGCCTCAACCACAAATATGAAATGTCATGGGAATATGTTGCCGCCATACATGCAGGACTCCTGAAGCTAATTCATATTCAATAGGTGTCAAAAACATGTACAGTATTTCACAAGTTTCAATAAGAATGCACACAAAGCCAATTTAAGAGAGTTAAATACATTTAAATTGCATATTTAACTGCCAATTCTTATTAAAAGCTTTTACCTAAATTTAACTGTCAATTTAATGTTTAGTATTCTTACAGGATTATGAAAGTAAACAGGAATGAGATTCAAGCAGTAATGTGAAAAGTATTAAAGCTGGTTGACAATTCATCAGGGCCACGTGAATCGTATCGTAGCACTAAAATTATAAACCTCTGATAGTGCACAATTCAACCATTGTGAATAGCTAAAAATTGTACAGCATACTAGTGATGTAGATGACGATCACTAACTAATGTACTGCAATCAGTTCATCGGTAACGCACAGTCTGCTGACATCCTGCCACGGTGCGGTTTTTTCCAGCGTACCTGCACGCGTGCAAGGGCAGGTCTTTGGTGTAGTACGTGTCCTCTTCATCCTCCTCAAAGTTCAGCTCGGCCAACAGTTGGCTGGCTTTGGCCACGGAATCATCCACTCCACCGTTGTGAAGACCCTCATCGGGACCATTTACCTGCAGCACAACACCTGCTTTACTGAACAAACTCACCGCTAACGACTAGCAGCCAGGCACACAGCGCTGAGAGAGCCACTAAATTATAAGTTGACAGGTTGTCAGCGCTCATGAATTTTCTCTTTGATTTTTACAGTTACGCTCACGAGTTAAGTTTACTTAACATAGTTCAAAATAAAGGTAAAAATACAATTACCTTTACTTCAGAAGTTTAGTTAAGGAGCTTGCTAACGCTGCAACCCAGCTAACACTGAGCTAAGTAATGCTATCCAATTTAGCGGGCTAACAGGTAGCGCTGGGTCAGCTAGCTAACTACAGCTAGCGTCAGTAAAGCGCGCTTTCTCGTGCCTTCGTGTGAAATTGAAAACCTCAGACCTGGCTGTCCAGCTGGCTCTGTGTCTGCCCTTGAGTTTGCGTCTGACTGGGAAGGGTGAAGTCGGTGAAGTCATACTCCGAGCCCTGGGTGTCCGCTCCGAGCAACTCCGCTTCCTCGGTGTCCAGGAAGGTGAGGGTCTGGGAGCTCGGCCCGTACGCCTCCACGCTCATCTCGACTCTCTCAACTTTCGCTTTACTGACGGGTTTCCGGGATTAGTATAAAGACAGTTAAAATCCAAAGCGTTTTCGTTGATCGACAATTGGTTTAGAGCCCGACGTTAAGAGTCTCAGTTTGAACCTAAATAAAAAATGGAACTGATCGGAACCTCAAAAGCTGCAGCAGGTCCAACAGCCGCGGTGACGGACTTCCCCAACGTGTGACGTTCACCGGAGGCTGGAGCTCAGCTCACAGACAGGTCTCTACAGGGAAGAGCTCTCACTCTGATCCTATATCCGGGTCTCAAAGCAACGTCACGAAACGCTGTGAGGAAATCCATTAAAATAGCAATACTAATACATATAATACTCCTAGCTCCCTGTCGATATTTGTGTCGACAGTTTTTTCAGCAGGTTTTGTTTTGTTTTAAATTTTTTTTATACAATTTGCATAATTCCCAATTTGTGTCCAAATCTGGTAAAAAAAAAAAACAAAACTAATCTAATCGTGTTTTTAGTATGTTTTGTATGGATAACAACGAGTAAAAACTCGGTCCCACGAGTTTATCATTGAGTTTTAGGTAATTACGTTAACAGCAAAATTGTTTAAAATAGTATCAACCAAGGCAGGGTCTGCTTAAGTAACTTAAATGTGAGCATTTAGATGGCCCCTATGCCAAAATGTATTTTAAAGAATTCAATCAAATGAGAAGTCTACGAGAGCACTGAGATATGAAGGTATGTACCAAAGAGGAATGAACGTTAATAGGAGTGAGCCATCCCTGTGAATGAGAGAGACAGGTGGAAAGGTCAAGATGCAATGAGGAGGTGGGTGAGTTGAAATACTTGGGGTCGACCATGCAAAGCAATGGACAGAGAGGTGAGAAAGAGTTAACATAGGATAAAGATGAATGTCAGGTGATTTTTCCACAGGTCTTGAATAATCAGGTCCTAACTTGTCTTAAAGATCTCACAGTACCATACCGCATAAATAGAGTATTTGTGGTTCTACTAGAGTTTCTAAAAGTGGAATGGGAAGAAGAGCCTTCATCTTTCAGGCCCCTCCACTGTAGAACCAGCTCCCTGTTTGGATTCGGGAGACAGACACTCTCTCTACTTTGAATATTAAGCTTAAAACTGATTTTTTTAAAAAAGGTTATAATTAGGGCTGTATCAGGCAACCCTGAAATTTCCCTTAGTTACGCCTAGACTGCAGGGAGCTTCCCATGATACACTGTTTCTTCTTCAATCACCTCATTTTCACTTTTTGTGTTTATGCACCACTTTGCATTCAATCATTAGTTATTATTAATCTCTGGCTCTCTTCCACATTGGGTTTTTCGTCCCTTCTTCCTCTTCTTACCCCCAACTGGTCACAGGAGATGGCCACCTCTCCCTGAGCGTTTCTACCTGTTAAAGGGAGTTTTTCCTTTCTACTGTTGCCAAGTGTTTGCCCAGAGGGCGTTGTCTGATTGTTGGGGATTTATTCCAGGGTCTTTATCTTCCAATATAATATTCCAATGCTTTTTTGAATTGGTGCTATATAAATAAAACAGAATCAAATGGAATTGGTGACAGGAGGATAGCAGCAAGAATGAAACGGGAGGGGGGAAAAAAGACAGGAGGCAGAAGTGGAGGTGACAGAGTTAAAGATAGTAACCAAGAGAATGATCAGGAGGCACAGCTTAGGCTGAATAGTTTGGAGACAAAGTTAGAGAAAAAGGCTGGGTATACTGGGATAGACCACAGAGAAGGATCATGGATGTAGTGATGGGCATGTGTGACTGAAGAGGATGCTAGAGATCTGATCTGATTAAGATATAGGCAACCTAACTTCTTCATAATATTGTGAGTTGTGACCAGTGTTTTGTGATGGTGAATCACAATCATGTAGATGTCATTAACAATAGAGTGGAGCCTCGTGGTAATAACTGTGACAGGCCTTTCATGGTCATTGTACCAACATGTCGATTACAAGGTTTCAATAGGAGAGAGTACTGAATGGAAAAGCACAAACATCACTTGTACTTCTTTTATTTCAAAGCCTTTCCTTTACAAAGCCAGGATTACTTACTGTAACAGTGCTTTGTTAATGAAGCTGAAGAGCATACCTTTCAGAGGATACTCCCAAAACACAGGTAGAGCACACACTGATATTAAAAAAAAAAAAAAAAAAAAGTACTTTTTGAGGTAGCCACAAGGACAGCATCAGTACTACATCTCTGAACTGACCCACTGAGAATTAGTAAGGCCTTTTCATAAAACACATAACCAACAGCAAGGCACAGGAGGGAGTTTGGGGTCAGAGGTCACCTCATATGTAAATTTGAGGCTTTAACTTTTGTGAGAAGAAATTCTGTTCTTACACAACTCTTTTTTTTTTAAACTTCTCTGCACACACAAAGTCACAAGGTAAAATATCAGCACCTAAAACAACATCAGAGATTTCTGAAACACCACAACCAAGAAATGAGCTGTGATAAAAAAGTTTAGGTCTGAGATGGAATTCAGTTATGTTCAGCTCCGTGCTTCACTTTGTGATGTACAGAACAGCATTAAAACAAAATACAAAGCTAAAAACGGCAATTTACTCAAATTTAATGGCACCAACTTGCTTAATTATTACTGAAGCACTACACAGTATCAGGTATTATGACATAGATACAGTGGTGTGAAAAAGTGTTTGTCCCCTTCCTGATTTCCAAGTGTTTTACATATTTGTTATACTTGTCACCTATTAAACCAAGATAACCCGAGTAAATGCAAAATGCAGCTTTTACATGATGATTTCACTGATTAAGAGAGAGAAATTATCCAAAAGTAGTTGCCCCATGTGTTAATCAGAAATTTACTGCGATTAACCACATTTTTTTGAAAGCTGAGTTCAGTTTCACTAAATAGACTCAGGCCTGACTACTGGCAGACCTGTTGAATAAAAAAAAAAAACCTTAACTATAATCTGTCTGACAAAGTGAAGCAGGTTAAAATATCTCAAAAAGCAACACATCATGCCACAATCTAAAGAAACACCTGAGCAATAAAGTCTGGGAAGGAATGCAAAGCCATGTCTAAGGCTTTGGGCCTCCAGTGAACCACAGTGAAAGTCATTATGTCATATGGAGTAGACTTGGAACAGTGGTGACGTTTCCCAGGAGTGACGGGCCCACCAAAATGACTCCAAGTGAATGGTAAATGGACTGGTTCTTATATAGCGCTTTTCTACTCATCTGAGCACTCAAAGCGCTTTACACAACTTGTGCATTCACCCATTCAGACTCATTCGCACAAGCACATCTTTCTAAGTGCTTTATAGCTAACATTCACACACATTCATACTCCGATGGATGCATCGGAGAGCAATTTGGAGTTAGTATCTTGCCCAAGGATATTTGGCATGCAGACTAGGGGAAGCCAGGAATCGAACCACCAACCTTCCGATCAGTAGATGACCTGCTCTACCACCTGAGCTACAGCCACCCCGAACAGCAAGGACTCATCCAGGAGATCACAATAGAATCCAGAATAAAATTAAAGAATCACAGACTTGTCTAGTTAAGGTCACAGCTCATGATTCAACAATAAGAAACAGACTGGGCAAAAATGGCATCCATGGGAGAGTTCCAGGAGAAAACTACTGCTGACCAAAAACAAGAGAAAGACTCATCTCACATCTGCCAAAAACATCTTGATCATCCCCAAGAGAGCTAAGAAAATGATCTGTGCAGCATTTCAAAAAAGGAACATCATACCAACAGTAAAATATGGTGGTGGGCTGTTTTGGTGCCTATGGGTCTGGAAGACTTGGTGTGCTAAATGAAACCAGGAATTCTGCCGTCTGCCAAAACATCCTGAAGGAGAATGTCCGGCCATCTGTTCGTGACCATAAGCTGAAGCGCATTTGGGTTCTGAAGCAGGACAATGATCCAAAACACACCAGCAAGTCCAACTCTGAATGGCTTTGGAGTGGCCTAGGCAAAGTTAAAAAGGCAATTCCTGCTCTAAAACCCTCCAGTGTGGTTGAATTATAACAATTCTATAAAGATGAGTGGGACAAAATTCCTCCACAGCACTGTAAAAGTCTCATTGCCAGTTATTGCAAACGCTTGATTGCAGTTGTTTCTAGTAAGGGTGGCCCAAACAGTTACTAGGTTTGGGTGGCAATCACTTTTTCCACACAGGGCCATGTAGGTTCCCCTAAATAATAAACACCTTCATTTAGAAACTGCATTTTGCATTTACTTGGGTCATCTATGCCTAATATTTAAATTTGTTTGATGATCTGAAACATTTAAGTGTGACAAACATACAAAAAAAAGGAAGCGAGCAAATACTTTTTCACACCACTGCAGATCTATCGTTGGGGCATGAACACTGTATTTAGCAGTATATAAATGATTACAGGCCAAAATTACTTGAACTGAAGCTGTGTTAGGTGTAGGCAGTCAGATTCTCAGGAGCCAGGGAGTGATCGAGATGACAAAACACAACACAATCCAATTTTTTTTAAAAAAAAGAAAAAAGAGCATTTACTCTGGGAGTGTTACTGTCATCGCCATGCATTCCTGCTCTACGTCATAATCACCATGAGGAAAAGGGTTGACAATGGAGGTCTAGAAAGCTACACAAGTTAAAGTGACAGAAAATAAAAACAAAACAGAAGCTTTCACATTGCTTGAGAAATGCTGTCCAAATTCCAGATTAAGTAAAACTGAAATACACAAGAAAAAAAAGAAACCAAGTGCTACAGAAAAGACATGAGGCCCAATTCTGACTGAAAGCAAAGTCCAACTTCATCAAATCAGATTCTCAGATAAAATAAGCAGCTACACCTGATTTAATGACAGGAACGACAGAAAGTTAATCAAGGAAATAGTTAGAGCTGCACAACCACAAAAGAAAGATTTCTAAAAGGTTTAAGATAAAATATGCAATGTCAAAGCCAGCAGGCATCCTCAGACACAAATCACAGCAAGTGTCACTATTTCACCATCCAGTGAGTCTGGGAGAGTCATGCCCAAAGTGCGCTTTAACAACAAGGCTACATGATATGAACTACTTCACTCTATATAACTCATCTGTTACAGTTTAATACATACTTTCTACAGTTAAAATCCAGTTGTGCAGCCTTGATGTATGACATAATTATCCCACTGAATCAATGAATGAGATCTGTGAAGTAACATTGCACATCCCGGGGCCAGATCTCAGTGGGGGGAGGGGGGGTTGGAAAGAAGGGGGTGTTTCTGTCAGAACTGGGCCGACAAACTGGGGAAATGTGAGCTGGAACCAACCCGTTCCCTGATTTAAATAACCTTTGTCAAAGAAGGCAAATTTACAACTTCTTATAAAGAAAAAGGACTCAAGAAAACAATTCAATATAAATGAGAAAAGCACAGGTAAGCTTTAGAATACAGAGAGGAGAATATGTGAAGGAAAATAAAATGAGCAGTTTACTGCTGGATGTTTCATATTAATCCATAATGCAGACTTTTATGTGTGCTACATGAAACCTATTGTGACCAACTAAGAAAAAAAAAATCTGAGAAAGAACCATTATGATTACAGTTTCCCCCAAATGTGTCTTCTATAATAATTTTAATAACCCTACCCCTATAAGGTGCATTATTAGGAGTCACATTTGGGGTTACGGGTTATAATATCTGCCACATTAGAGACCACCTGCTGCGACCGCATGTGAACAACACAAGCAGCATTTTGCTCCTGTGTTTATCTGGTTTTTCCTCACATTTTGCTCCAATGTCAGAATGCTTCCAGTTCTTTTAAAGCTTACGTTACAATGAGACCGTAACAGAATCGGGCCTAGCAAAGCAAGAAGCAAAGAAGCAAGACAAACTTTGAAAGCAGATTATACTGTGAAGTGTCATTATTACCAATTAAAGATACAGTTTAAAAAAAAAAAAGGGGCAGGAGGTTTGGCTACTTGTGATTAAGTGCAATTTCTCTTGTGTGGTAAGGGCTGGAGAGGCTAGTTGGCATATGGAGGTCACTTAGTGGAAGTGTTGTTGGCAGTGAATCTTCCCTTCAGCTTGGTCCATAAGCTCCAGCATCTCCTGGATGACGGCCTGCAGTGCACGACCCAGGTCTTCTTTACTGTAAGGCTTTCCAAGAGGAGGCACATGAATAAAGGCAGAGCGGCCGTGGCTCAGGTACAGAGAGGTGTAGTAGGTAAAATCACAGAGATACCTGTCAGAGAAGGGAGCACGGTATTTAATAAATGAAGAGACTGACTCCATAACACAAACAAACAATAAAACAGCATTTACATGACGCATACTCGCCTCTCAGCTGAGCCACTCAACCGTGCACATACCTTCAAAGGGCCCTGATCACTACCTGTCACACTGAAGCATTGTTATGTCACTGCTAGATCTTGACAGCAGTAAACATATTTTGCCTTTTCCCAAAGGCCAAACTGCATAATGTGACTACTGTTTATATTGTTACTATAGCCTGACAGCTGTCAGTATATCAGAAACACTGCTGTTTGTGGCCTAGCAGAACAATTTCAGGCTGCCTCTGAAATGTAAAGCTTAAAGCTTCAGTCAAAACTTCTAGATTCAACTAAGACAGACTTTACTTCAAGTAAAGCATCAGTTTAGCAGCTTAAGTGCATTTATCACTGCAACTAGCAACTAGCTAATTTGTCAGCCTAGTGTAGAAACTTTCAAAAAGCCTAAATTCAAACCATGAGAAAATATAAAAATAAACTCCAGAAAGCTCAGATTCAAGTCAAAGTTCTCTGTCTGTTCATCACTGGGAACTTTGTTTTTGGTCTCTCATTATAGTAAAAATAGTGATTACAGTTTCTTTCAAACATTTGCCTCAAAAAACAAAAAAAGTTCCAAAAATTGAACTTCAGCAGAAAACGCTGATAAGGTCTCAGTATTTACAATCATAGCAACAATCTGTGCCGAGTTCTGAGCTAGCCATCTCTATATAAAAGTACCGCCATGTGAGCAGTACATGCAACAGTTGGACGGATAAAGATACACAACTTGGTAAAAGAGAAAAAACACATTAAATAATGACCTCCCGGCATCTCTGGAGACAGACACGGCTACTCCCAGCCCTGAGGCATTCACTCGTTTGCAGACCAATTCCATGTCAATGATCGAGTTGATGCAGTCTGGGCCTCCAACAACGCAGCACTGTGAATCGGGGCAGAAGCTGCTGTTGTCCAGGCCCTTGTAACCATGATTTCTTCCACACTTCTCCAGCGTGACAGTTGTGGCCATACCCGAAACTCCAACATGAACTACCAACTGTCCAACAAAGAAAACAATAAAAACACAAAGTCAGAATGACTAGACTATTGCAGGCTTCCCTTACACCTGAGGCATCCATGCTCTCAAAACAGGGCCTAGGATTATTTTACTGAAACAAAAAAGCAAGGAAACGCAAGATAAAAGCTCAAGCCGAATTTTACAATGTAGCCCCTTTATAGCGAGCTTTTAACAAAGGCACTTTCAAGCCCATAATTCATCGTATTGTTCATTGGGGCTTCTAACTCTTAAAGCAGCGGTCCCCGACCCCCGGGCCACGGACCAGTTGTTTGGTACCGGGCCGCAAGAGTTGAGGCTCGGGTGTGAAATTCATGGCTTCAGTTTTTAGCGCAATTATTATTTTTTTTAAATAGTTTTTATCGTTAAGTCTGTGTCCCTGGGTCTTTTCCCGTGTGTTATGAATACATCTTCTTTTTTGGTACTGGTTTTATTTTGTTGTATTTATCTGCAACACCTTAAAGGCCGGTCCGTGAAAATACTGTCGGTCATAAACCGGTCCGTGGCGCAAAAAAGGTTGGGGGACGGCAGTCTTAAAGCGCAATAATGCTGTCACTTTAAATTAGGCTCTCCTCTTACCAGTGGATGATACTGCTTCCATAATGAAGGAACCAAACTCTGGACTTGTTGGTACTCAACAGGAACCTCGTGTACATGCAGATCCACATCACTGCCCAGCCCGAGCTTCTTCAGTTCCTGTCAGAGTAAAATTAAAACCTGAAGTTTAGAAATCATTCCACATGTTGAAACATCAGTTTCAGCTTCTTCAGTTAAATTTAGATAATTTACAAAAATTGCAGTAGATGCGTAATGCGGAGCTACGCGCTGTGGCAACCCCTTGTGAATAAAAGAGCAGCTGAAAGTAGCTTTACAGGATACTGTAGGCTGCCTCCTTTGCCTATGTTCTTATCATTTTTACTTCATGCTCACTGACAGCTAATTTCCCTGCAAAATATGTCTCCACGTATTTGGAATTTTTGGTCACTTGGGAAAATCTCTTAATGCTTTGCCATTCCCAAATGGTATAATTTTACAGTCAACTTGGCAAACAGAATGAACAAACACTCCAACCCCAAACTCAGGCTTCTTCAAAAGCAAAATCAAGAAATAAAATATGCCAAACACTGACTTCACATATAAAAACAAACAAATCTGTATCAAATTCAAAGCCAGTAACCCAACAGCTCCCCCAGTCTCCCTGCAGGACAAATAGCCCTGGACACTGACCTCCCAGATGTATTGAAAGGAGGCTTATTTGACCACGTCTGTGACCCTACCACAATGTGCCCTTTTGTTTGCCTTTAATATCCTTATCAAGTCCGTCTAGACACCCTGACAACCACCATCATCCCCCCACACAAAACCTCTGACGAACACTGCTACATAGTACGAAGCCGGCCGTCAGCATCGCAGAACTGCCGCACAAACATCTTCCAAGTGTCGGCAAAAACCACATGACAACCTTCAAGACTTTCGAAAAGCATTTTTGGAGCAAGTTTAGTATAAAAAAAAAAAAAAAAAAAAAAAAAAATATATATATATATATATATATATATATAACACCATCACACACTTTAACTGTATGGCACATTAACTTGTATCAAATACAGACTTTTTAAAAAATCATTTAAGTGTAAATAACAATTATGCAAATTATTACCTCTTTATTAGATACTAAAAAATGAAACAAACAAACAAAGAAAGCCAATAAATACCTGTACTGCTACCCAGCTGGCGTTGACAGTGTGCTCTCCAAATGGCCCGAAACCTGCAAAAGATGTCAGCTGCTGAATTAATGTGGATTATGTTTGTGGTGTCTGCAAAAACAGCCATTTTTATAAGATTTATTTATTTGTTTAAATAATTCTACTGATATGACCTTAAAGGTAGTTTCTGATTGAAAAAGGGGGCTGTTAAAGATTTGAGTTGACTGAGATGCTGATTTGCAACATAAAGGTATACATTTAGTCTTTTATGTCAAATACAACATCCTTTTCAGTAGCATGACTGAGATGTAATTGCCTGTTGTTTGAAATTATAAACTGTTGTTTTGAAGAATGCACCTCATTATTAATAACATAAAGACCTGCTGATGCACAACTGCAAATGAAAAACTGTAAAATCTCAGCAGCCCATGGAAATTCACTCGGGACTGTTTATATAAGGCTCTATCACGGATTCCCCCGCCCCACTGTCTATCCTAGGGTCACTGGGTCCCTGGGGGTTGGGTGGAGAGGGGATCAGTCTGTCTGACAGGCTGATGAAAAGGAGCAGAGTGAGGGGCCGGCAGCTGCCAGCCAGCCTGCTATTGTGAAGGTGCTGTTCCCAGGCAATCTACACTTCTCCTATCAGCTGGGGAGACACGTTTCTGCACCCCTTTGTGTCTGTAAACAGCAAATTAATGTGTCTGTTCTGCCAAACGTCACCATTTAACACTGCTGTTTGCACTAACGAAAATATGTTCATGTGGCTGGACTTGAAATTGCATCGAAGTGTGATTTAGATAAACAAATATGTGCATACACAGTACTTGTTATAATAACAAGTATTATAAATTGGTGACTATTACACAGGGATGTAACTTTGAATCACAAGTGATGCAAAATAAATTTTCTGAAATAAAACACAGAGACTGGTTGATGAACAGCAGCTCTAAGTCTACACTAGATTACCATAATGCAAAATAATGAGACTAAACAGGATGAACTAGCATAAAGAAACTCATTCAATAACTTATCAATAGTGGAACCTAGTCACCACTTGGGAATAGGATATGTATTTTTAGCCACAGATCTATAAAGGCATCACACACAACAATTGGACAGAGGAAGATACGAATAATTCAAAGCAATAAAGAATAAAAAACAATAATTTAGGCTAAAGGGTTCATTATTAAAATCTCTCTCCATTGTGTTTTCACCTTTATCTTTTGTTCATCTGTCTATATTTTGTAGATTACTGACATAACTCCAATGATATCAGTTTTTTTTAAACTGAAATAATTTCAATAATGTCCCAAGTCACAACTAACAACATCTAATATTTATGAAAATATATGCATTATTACCTTTGCTGCCATATGGTATTGTGCTCAGTATTAGTGACTAATACTTCAGATGAACACGAGCTATTTGAAAGCATTTAGAAACAAATATTATACCGTATCCATAGAGCAAAACAAATGTGTAGACAACACAAAAGGCGCTTGTTTTTGGAGGAGTAATTTGTTTACTGTCTGCGGCCTTTCAGCTGAAGTCATCTAAAACAATGGTGAGACCACCGAACCGGTCTGTAGCGTCAATAATGCATCCCCCCAAAACTCTAAAGGGTCAAAACTCCCACAAAACAACTCGTTTCTTTCTGTACAGTTGCAACAGAGTGGAGCAGGAACGACCTGACGCCATTAATGGAGCAGCTTTAGTCTCCTCAACTTTTCCTCAACAGACAAAAGAGACAACGACAGCGGATAAAAGAGCCCAAACCTGTAACGACCACAGCCCGTTTACTGTTATCCATCTCCCGTCCCGTTCACGAGGAACCGTTGCCTCTTTTTCTCGGTCTTTACTTTGAACAGGGTTAGAACGAGAGTCTACCCCGCAGAGCTGACGGCTCCTTCTCCCACACACAGACCAAACCGGAGGTACTCCCTCCTTCCGCAGGCAGCCTAAGACGTGACGTGATTACGTCAGCAAACCCCCCGAAAAGCTACAAAAATGTATACAAAGGCAGTATACATTTTTGAAAGATTTTTTTAAATTGCTCATTTATTTATTTGTTTCATTAAAAAATATATAAATCCATTCATTCACTGCGCTAAAGATGTAACTTCAAAAATGAATATTATTTTCATTTTCTATTAAACTATTTACATTACTGTGCAAAGGTCTTGAGCTACCCGTTTTTCTTTATATTTTGCAAGTAAAATGGGAAATAGGTGCAGATATATATCGAAGCATGTGCAAACATACATGAAAATACAGAATATAAAGCAAAAAACAGAGTCTATACAATTCTAACCAGCATGAAAGTCAATATTTACCTTTATTCTTCAACACAACATGAACTCTATTAAGCTTTCTCGTGACCTTTTTTAATATGGCTGTTTTATACTTAAATGATATAGGTCAGTGTAAGTGGTATAAGAAAGAAAGAAAAAAAAACAAAAAGCATCTCTCTGAAAATGGTCAACTATTAGGATGGAGTGTAAATGAGTTAAAAAGCAATTAATTTCTAAGGAAAAGCTTTTAAAGACCTTCAGAAAGCCTGGAGAGCTGTTGCTAATAACTGCTTTAAAATAAGAAGAAAGTGGTTATGGTTGTATTCTACATTATAATGATGAACAATGTGTTGAACTCAGTGTGTTTTTGGCTGTTGACCTGCTTTTGGATTTCATGTAAATTGTATGTCTCATATCTGAAAACTTTTCAGTTATTTGGATCATTCTCCTCCATTTCCCAGTGTATTTGTTGACTTTAACGATCAATAGTTTCAAACAATTGGCAAGGGACTAAAAATGTAAGAAGAAAGAAGAATAAAATTCTTTAAATAACTAATCTAACTGTTTCCTCACCACCAGAACGCCATACAGTCTCCGGTTACCAGTTTTAAAATCTGGGAGAAAACATGGTTCAGATAAAGGGGATTCTCTGCTAAATTAAACACCCACTGGTAAACTATCTTTATAAATAAAACAAATTAAGTATACCTTAAGTATATCTTGGGAATAGGAGAGATGCAGCTAAAATAAAAAAAAAAAGCAAATTTAAAAATTGAACCGAATAATTTGAAAATTTTTTTACTTTACTTATTCTTATTCCTATCCCTTTAAAGTGGCAAACACGAAAAGAGATCGCGAGTGCACATTTTAATCTTCGCACCTTTCATTTGTGCTCATTTGATATTGGAAATGCGTGTTTCTGACAGTAGAGGGCAGCATCATATAATACAGCCATGAATGCGCCTCGCCACACCGGAAGACAAAGAGTAACAGTAGGTGGGAAAATCGTGTTAGCAAGTAAGACACTAAAATAAAAAAAAAAAAGAAACAATCAAGAAACCATCAAAATGGTGAGTTGTTAAAACTTTTATTCTCTTCAGTGGCACTGAGTGCTAGATTTTCAGCTAGCATTCTCAGTGCTAGCAGCATCGCCTTGCCTCTCTATACTCGGCCTGTTAGCTATGGGAAGTTAGCTTAGCAGCTAAATTAAGCATCGTTTACGTAAACTAGTCGTTTTTAATAAGCATATATATGCAGACTTAACATACAGCTTTGGAAAGCTTTTAGGTCGTGCTCGACGTGCTGAGGCGGGGGTTTATTATCCCGTTTAGCTCCATACTCTTGCAGCTGTAAGGTTACTGACAGTTCAGTGGAGTCGGTGAGTAAACGACGTAGACCTGAAGGCACTCTTAAAAAACCTGAACATAAAAGCACCTTCATGTCTTTACGCCAAACACCGCGGCTATGGAGACGTTTTCTCTGGAATAAAACACCACTGGGTGTTTTATGCACTCTCGCTTCAGTGCTCACTTCGGTAAATGCTGTTGATTACACATCTTTTGCCACGTTTGACCTGCTTCTCTGTTGTTTTGCAGCTTCCCCTGTCTCTGCTGAAGACTGCCCAGAACCACCCTATGGTGAGACTAACGTAGACCATGTATACAATTTTATATAACAGGCTCTAATAATAATAGTCACGAGGAGAGAAAGTGACATCTCAAGATTTCTTACATGTCGAAAGCAGTGAATTGTAAATGTGTGAGCAGAAAAAGATTCAGGTTTCTTTTGAAATTTATACTGTATATAATTGTGGCTTCAGCTCTGACTGTCTCATCTTATTTTGCCAAACTATCGCCCGTCCTAATTTCTTTTTAGAACTTTAATTGGCACAAGTTCAGTTTATTTTTTGTAGTGAGTATTGAAACTTTTAATACAGCTGTGAATTCTGAAAACATTGTAAGACAAGCTTTCCCCCCTCGTCTTTTCTCTCTGTAGTTGGTGGAGCTGAAGAATGGAGAGACGTACAACGGTCACCTGGTCAGTTGTGATAACTGGATGAACATCAACCTGAGAGAAGTCATCTGCACATCCAGGGTAACACTGACCTTGCTCTTACATTAAAGCTCTAGATTAATGACTGATGGTTAAAAAAGACAGTTTTCAGTGATTACTTGAAGCTTTCATTGTTATGCGCAGAGTTATCATTTTATATAAAGGCTGAGTAAGTTATTCACACTTTTTGGTGGATACACCTGCTGGCTGTCTGCGCTCTGGTGTTTGTGCGCAGCCCTGCTTTTCTCTAACTGTTCCAAAAACACTGATTTGGACTGAGCCACACATGACTGTAGCTAAATAGGTACAGGGAATTTTGAATGGAATGAGAGTGAACTTCTGGATTTTTTTCCCCCCTTTTGCTGTAAATACACTACTAAAGTATTGTTTCAGTACAGATATTTCTATATATGTAGCTGTTCGGTCTTATGAGAGAGTGCTTTTTTTTTTTTCTCTTGTTAATCTTGAGTTAATTGTTAAGCCAATTTGATGAACCGACAGCCCCACTCCACCTCTCACAGGATGGAGATAAGTTCTGGAGAATGCCTGAGTGCTACATCCGAGGAAGCACCATCAAATATCTGCGAATCCCAGATGAAATCATCGATATGGTGAAGGAGGAGGTGGTGTCGAAGGGGCGTGGACGTGGAGGCGCCCAGCAGAACAAACAGCAGGGCAAAGGAAGAGGAGCAGGTGGCCGAGGTGAGAGGAAGCAGCTTTTGTTGTTCGTGCTGGATGTCTTAATAAACACGGGAGAGTATTGAGTATTGTTTCCACATTTCTGTCAGTTTTTTCCAGTGTTCATAAGTTAACAAATTTACACCTGATAAGTGTAAAAATAAATTATCTAAGTTCAACTTTAATTTCACTGAGGTTAAAAAATTATCGAATCCCTAACCAATCTAGGAACCCATGACTATTATCGTAATCATAGCTGAAATTTCTGACAGCTTCTACCACATACATTTATGCATGATTTGACCAACAGGAGCCTCATAATTTTTTCTTATAAGTGTTTAATTTAAAGT